GCAATCAACACTAGGAGGAATCAAAAAACACAAGTAAAACAGAACAGACAAGGCACTGGCAGAGTAACCATAAACAAGATATAAATTACCCAGCAGGGATAAAATAAAACCAAAATAAAACACAAAGGCGAGGCAAGCCCCAGGCCCAGGTGTCTGCTTGTGAGCCACACACACAACCCACAGAGCTCCTCAGCAGCCCAGGGAGCGGGGGAACACCAAACAGGATGGCTAGCGGGAACTGCTGGCCAAATGGGTAAAAGACAACTGGGACAGGACCGGACGGGCACCTGAGCATCTCAAACAGGGTCTACAAGTCCCTGGACCAATCTGTGTTAAGGGCCTTACTCAAAGGCCCAAGTGTGATAAATGTAGCTCTGCCAGTCATGGGATTTAAACCAGTGACCACCTACTCAGGCGGAGTCCCAGCCCACAAAATCACCCACCACCCGTGTTTCCTTATATCAACAATAAATATGAAGAATTACACAATAAAATCAATGGGGTATACTACTTCCTAAATTATATTTGCTCAGAAAAACTGCATTTCAGCTGTAATTAAGTCGCAGTTTGGAAATGAGAGCATACTGCAGTATGTTCTGTATAAGTTAGTTAAAATAATAAACTTTAATTAACAGATACTGAATTATTTACCCACTTAATGCTAATGTTTTAATTAAAACGACTTACCTTCCTTTACATAATAAGCATGTGTAATTATAAAACTTTTTTTTACTGAAGCAATTAATTTTAAGCATTTCCTTAAGGCCTTGTCTTCTTTCTGTAATACATATGAACACGACACACTGTACCTGTAAACCACGAATGCAAGCTACTGGAATTGTTTTTCTTAATCTGGGAGGAGCACATTCTATTCCATGTTTACGGTTTATTGTCCATATTCCATATATTATCCCACAAGATCCCCAATCACTGAATTGACAGCAAAAATCTATTTCATATGTTTATTTCAGGCATGGCAGACCTTCTGACCTCTAGTTTAAATTATCTGTATATATCATATTTCTTAATGCTCAATCTACTAATGACTTCAAAGCCCCTCTTCCTGTGATAAGAAGTGGTAAATTAAAAAATTAAATCATGTGCTGAAATTGAAATGTAGTACATAATATTGTTCAGTCATTAATCAATAGCAAATAAGTTGTGTGTGTGTGTGTGTGTGTGTGTGTGTGGAGGGGGGGGCGGGAGGGGGCAGGGGTTCGGTAGTTACTTAAGGAATGACACCTACAATTGTGAATAACAGTACACATGTTGTCAGGCTATAAAAGCAGATAATACATTTGATGTGCCAGTACTTTTAAGAATAATCTTAACACTTGTCAGTCTCCCCACCTGTTTCCACTGTCAGTCTCTATTACAACGTATAACTGACAATTGATGAGTAATTCAGCATTTACCTAGTGAGTTCATAACCCTATGGGGCATAGCTTATGGACTATCAGTACTTATCTCAGCTGCAGTCTTTCAGTTTTTATTTTATGTGGTAATATATTTCATTAATCATTATGGTTGTTAACCCTCAGGCTTGTAATTTATATTAAGTTTTCTATCTTTCATTTTGTCGATTCATTTCGATAGGAAGAGAAGTGTTCAGTTGAGCTATATTGTTAACACATTTCAAATTAAAATGAAATGACCTGTGACTGCAATTTAATTAATCATTCATCTAATGCAGCATTTCTGTCATTTCATTAAATTTGAGATATTATGAGCTCTGTTGACATCGTTATGGGTCGGGGCAGCAGTAGGGCTTATCACCTGTAGAGCCAAGAACAGTTGAATCATTAAGGAAATAGAGCAGAGGGGAAGACATAGAATAACTAGCTACTAAAGGTTTTAAATGCAAGAACAGCCAGAGGTGGAACCATTTAAATTTTTAGATAATTTAAGGTTACGGCAGTCAAAATGATATGGCATGTGCAAATAATATTTAGTAACTAGCCACGTGCAAACTACAAGATCAGATCACCTACATTATCTGCCATAATTCAGCATCCTGAATGACCATGCTATTATGAACTGAAGGAGACAGGAGAAGGCATGGTAAGGGTAAACAAAGCTGACCATGTGGGGCCAAACAAAAGCCAAAACTGGTGCAAAGGGAAACCACTGAAGCACACACTGAGGCAACATTAATGACCAGACTGGGGAGCACAGGACTGGGAGGCACTCTTATACATGACTAACGAGGGAGAAGATGAGAGACAGCTGGATTGAGTCACACGAGGGCTGAAACAAGAGGTAAGACAAATTAGTAACAAGTGTGGCTCATTGGACTCACACTAGGGAAAGAAGAAGAGGGGCAGGGATGCGGAGCGTGACTAGTGTGGCTTGGTGACAAAGGAGAATTTTATGATAAACATGAATTAATCCAAGGCTAAACCAAACATGCACATTCATCTACAAGAACAATATGTAAGCATGCAAATATGCATACAAATGCACAACACTAGCAGTAAACAAACACGAAAATGACTGACCAAGAAACAGGTCAAGGGCAGGCACGTATATACTGTACACAAGCAACAAGGTTAGATGAGAGACAGGTGTGGGCCAATTACAGATTACACACAGGTGGAGGTAACACAATCAATCAAACGCTAGGCACTAAGGCTACACTGGAGATATTAGGAACAAAGGTGAAACAACACATGATTTCAAAACTAGATACAAACAGGGATAACTAACAAAGGTACAAAAACAAGGTTCCATACAGAATACAAGAAAACTAAGTAACTAATTAACAACGTTATACAAAAGCAGAATTTAGGGGCACAAAACACAAAATGTCGAATAACCCACGACGGTAGGAGATGCCTGGTTGCCAAATGCCTGTTTAGGAGCCATGCGGCGGCTCAGTGCACTAGGGGAAAACAACGTAAACTAAGAAAGGTGCCAAAACACTGGAGAATGAATGGGATGGCCAGCGACACCTGTTGGACACACAGGGAAACAACAGGTAGAACAGAACAATCCACGGACTTATCCTGACAAATTCCTTCCTTGTTGTAACTGCCACCTAGTACTGTATGTCTTGTATAGAATCAGTATAAATTAATTCCCAAGTGAGACTGTAAACAAGTGCTTTTCGTTTGGAGGACTGCATTATTTATATACTTCATGTTGAGTATGATTAATATATATGAAAGCACAGCATCTCATGATGATAGTGCAACATGAATTTCTTGTGAAATAAGTGATAACGAAACAATATGATTCTTCTATATTTTAATTTTATGAATCTCAGAATTGTAACAATCTGTAACCACAGGTCATGACATGCAAACCCATACTGCCATAATAAATTTATTTCCAATGTTCTAGAAATCATGTCATTGACGTTCTTCAGTCAAAACATATCATATACTGAATGGCCCATCTATCCATTTTCTGTAACCGCTTGTTATATTCAGGGTCACAGGGGGTTCTGAGTATATAGGTGGAAGATGGGGAACAATCTAGGATGGGGCACCAACCAATTACAAGGCATATGCATACCCCATTCACACACATGTGTACATTGGGTAACTCCAATTAACCTCTGCATGTTTTTGGGCTGTGGGGGGGGGGGGACCGGAGTACCCAGAGGAAACCCCACGATGACATGGGAACAAAATGCAAACTCCACAGACATGTGGCCATAGTAGATGGGTACCACCATTGTTTCACAACTCCAGGGTTCAAGGTTTGTGTGTCTATTGTTCTCTGTGTGTGGAATTCGCTTGTTCTTCCCATGTCATGCAGGTTTTCTCCTGCAGTCAGAGAGAAGCATTTAAACTACCTGGTGTCTCTAAATTGCCCATAATGTATGGCTGTGTCAGTCTATGTGCCCAGAAATGCACTAGCATTCTGTCCTCACCAGGATAAGTGGTCAGAAGATGGATGGTTATATTTTCAGATAAAAGTGCACATAAATGGTAACCAAATATTTTTTTGGACTGGAATGTATTTTATAGCATATCATCTATCCAAAGCATCTTCAGCACCTTTCTACCAGATCTGAGGAATGCCATAGTTTGTTTAGTGCTATGTGACAGCATGATACACTGTGATAATGTAAAATATGGCATAACGAATTCTGTTGCGAGACAAATACTACACAGTAAATTCACATATGCACTGATGTCTCTGACAAGCTGCTACAGGACCCAGAGAGGCTGAGGAACACATTACATTCATTCTGGTTTTTAGCAAGTCATTCTGCTTCTTATGACTGAAGTCTCTCTTTACCTTCTCAGCCAGGGTGGATTAAAATATCAGATCCCTTTCATGTGTTAATGATGTAAAAGGTCACATGAAGCTGCAGACACTCTTCTTGTCACTTGTCAGCATGTGCCCAGGCTGCTTTTACCACAGATAAGTCACATTTAGAAGCTGCTGTACAACACTGTCTAACAGACTCATAAGTATGTGTGTGCACGTGTGTGTATAAATGAAATGCTTTTATATATGGAGCATATATAGGCTTGAGTGAGATCGTCATTGTATTGCTCTCTCTCTCTCTCTCTCTCTCTCTCTCTATATATATATATATATATATATATATATATGTTGTGTGTGTGTGTGTGTGTATGTATATATATGTATATATACATATATATATACATATATATACATATGGCCAGGTTCTATTGAACTATAGTATCAGAATGTATTCACTGATAAGACTTCTAAGCACTTATGTAAGTCGCTCTGGCTAAGGGCGTCTGCCAAATGCAGTAAATGTAATATAATTCCTCTAGCGTTAAATGAATAATTATGTCGGAGTAAGAATTCATTGATTTTGACAAGTAACGGGAAAAAGTTAAATTACACCTATTGTTTTTATGTTCTGCTCGTTTTTCCGTGTATTGCATTGTTTACTGTGCTAGGTGTCCGACAGCCCGGATTCCCTCGCTAATTCAGCTGCTCGGGTGAACAGCGGACCTCCGTAGTACTACTATAAGCCGGCGGCCAATAGGACGGCGGCGGGGCGGGGAGAAACCTGCTGTGAGGCTCCGGTACTGCGGGTGCTGGAGGCTTCGCTTGCACGGACAATAAGCGCTCGCTCCACATACTTTGGTCAATGGATTATACGTTTTCCCTTCAAGTGCAACATCAGCTGACGGTATTTCCAAACCATTTGTTCCAGGGTTACAGTTTGGAGTGGCAGGTACTTACTTATATGCTAATTATTTGTGTGTTGCAATAATGTTAACATTGCATGTATGTCCTTTGTGTGGCTTTTGACTAAAGTAATCCTCTGTCAAACTCTCAACTCTCACAAGAATCATATTGCTAATAGAAAGTATGTATGGCAATATTAAGTTTTTTTTTTTTTTTAAATGTGCGCATAGACTTTGATTTTTAATGGCAGAATATGTGGAAGAAATTTTAGGTAGTACAGTTTTTGGGTTGTCCGTGAAACAGTGTAGTGACGAGCAGACTTGCAAGACGGCATAGTAAACGCTTTATTTGGCAGCGGTTTGTAAGGCACTTTATTCGTAATACAAAGGCCGTCGCGATTTCTTCACAAATGAGGTTTGTGGCAACATAGACAGCTTTGTTTACATGACATGTTGTGCAAATCACTCTTAAAAATAGCGTTAAAATCATTACAGGAAAGAATATGTATGTTGTTGGTGCGGGGATGATGCCAGCAGGCGGAAAATGTTTGTAAATGTGTACACTTTGCTGACAGCTGACTGATTACTTAAACAAAGAGACTGCGCTGTTTGAAGTTTGGAGAAATGATTGATAGCACTTGATGCATTATTTCTGTGGGGAACAAGCATACGGTTTTTGCAGAGCTGTAAGATTAAATATATGCTTTGACATTTTCGCCTGTGGTACGACTAAGCTGAGGATGATGTGTGAGGGTCCGGCGCTCTGCTTTGCAACCAGCCAATAAATAATCGCAATGTAAACGTATCATATGCTAATTAACCTAGCGATAGAGACTTAACATAATCCCTTTTGATTTTGCCTCCTTTCTTTGCACTAGGTGAAATTCGGCAACAGTTATAAACGTCCTACATTGCACTTACGGCTATGACCAGAAAAGGATTTATAAAGCTAATTCGGACATCACTTGGGAATGTTTTGTGCATATTGATTAGAACTCCTTTAAAGTTTAAATTATTTTTCTATCCCAAGTTGTAATGGATTGTCTTTGCTGGATTTTCTTCACATTGCACTGTAATAAAATGTAAATTGTTCCGTTGGACTGCATAGTTATACATCATGCATTAGGCATATATATTCCCTGTCACATGCTATTAATTTTATCAGTGTGGCTTTGTGAATGTGTATAACCGTCCTCAACGTCCATTACTGACTTTTTCATTATTCAGTAGTGTGAACGTGAGCCCCACATCAATTCCTCGTATACTGTAGATAATCCACAGTGAGGCCACCTTTCGCAGTTAACTCTCCTGAATCATATCGTGGGGCAGTGTTTGCCGTTTTGCAGCTGTTCATTTTATGCCTGTGTGCTACTGTCTGTCTTTGGGAGCCTGGAGTCCTACATTCATAAGCCAGAAGAATTATTTGAAATGAAGAAGTTCCCAAGTTGTGAATTCTGGTGTTGGCAAGTTTTGGATCTGAAACATCATTGTAATTGCAGATTATCATGAGTGGATTGCTCTGCTTTGTTAACGTGAAGTTATCCATGTTTTGATCATAGTTTTCATCTACATTTAAAATTTTTTATTCATATTTTGTTTTTTTTCCAGTTAATAATACTGTTATACATTTTTTTTCAGTTTTGGGTTAAGTAAATAACTTGTATGTTATTTCAAATATAGCCGTAATTGTGGAGGTTGCATTCTTTTCATTTGCTCATCAGAGAAACAGACAGTAGTTATAAGATGATGCTCGATACTGATCTGAGGCCAGTTTAAGAGCTCGATAGTGATCTGAGGCTACTTCTAATTAGGGCACGTTCTTTATATGGCATTAATAATTTGGAATGTTTATCTGTACTCATGATATTGCAGAAAACAATCAGCACTGTTTGTGCTTCCTGTTTATGCTCAATTGCAGAATGTATAGATTTTGCAGTCACCCTGTTAGTTAATGTAAAACAGGACCCAGGGATCCTTCTGGATGATTATTTATGTTTCTGTCATTGACGTCAGAAGGCTTATTTTATTCAAAATACTTTCCTCTGTCCTTAAATGTTTTAAAGGACACCCCAGAACGGCAAATTACTGATGGTCGCAGATGCATTTTTTGCGCTGCTTCACCTTGATGCGCTTCATCGTCGCAGTTCATGGAGTCAGGCTTCTCCTTGGCACCGAATATCTTGCAGCCCAAACCACAAGGTGGCTCATTGTTCTATCAGTTCACTCACAACATTACTGTAACTTGGGCCAGTTCCATGTTTAACACTGCAATCTGTGCTTTTGGCTTCACCTGCCTCTTTAGACTTTAAACAAACACATGTCACGTGTTATTTAATGTTATCTTTCATGATGGAAATTAATTAATTGTGCCATATAAAAGACTATATATTTTTAACTATAATTTTTTATACATATTTAGGAACTTCTGGAGTATATTAATGTTAATTGAAAAACAACAATTTATATATTGTTAGAAGATGTGAAATGATTTTCTACTTAGTTTTTTGAACGCTTTAACCTGTAGATCTTGTGAGTATTGGGTATGGTGACAAGCTTCAGGCTTCCAGAAAAGAGTTGCACAATATTATTTCACTATTATTTCCAGAAGAGAAATGGCCTGTGGTGACCTTTCAGCACAAGGCTCACTAGAATCCCGTGTACATTTTGGCCCTATGGCCAAAATGTACACGAGACCAGCAGTGAAATTGGCGGAACATGCTAGCTCCACTTGCTGGCAGTAGTTGCCTATATGCTATAACAGTGACCTATATAACATCTAACAGCCAAGTTGTCCATAATAATTTGAGAGATTATAGCTAGCTATTATGGCTGCATAAAATTAAATATACTGCAGTGTATTCATCTTTTTTTTTTGCAGTGACAGTGAAATTAACTTCTATTATTTTAATTTCTCATTCAGTTCTTTTATTTTTTGGTCTCTCTTACTATTTATTACCGCTGAAGAAGGTAGTTTCTGCATTGACTGAAATGCATAAAAATATTGAAATGGTAATGACCATTGTTGTCAGATACTGATTTTTACTTTATTTATATCTAATTTTTGCATTGGTTAAACACCCTTGCTGTAAGTCAAACGATGCACTTGTCCACTTTTTTTTTTTACAAGTATGTGGGACTTCGTTACATTTCGGATATCCAATCTCGCCTTCCTTTGAAACATATATATGCATGTAGAGGTGAGAGCAAAGCTCTGGGTTTGAACATGGACTTATTTGACCCCTGGAGCATTTTTCAGAGTTTTTGGGCCTTGTTCAAGGGCCCAACAGTGACTATGCTGCGTACAGCGCTGGTCACAGCCCAGCGGGGGGGCTTCACTGCTGCCCCCTGCCACAAATGCCCCAGGCAGATTTTAACTGCTCAGTTTCACGTTGTCTTTGATGGTGCAAGCCTGTGGTACCTAATGGGTTCAGACCCATAACAGTACCGTCTCAGGCACAGAGCCCTAACCCTCGGAGCCACACTCTGCCCTGTTGTTCCCCTGCTGCTAAAGGCACCATCTGTCGTGCCAAGGGTTTCGTAAATATGAAAATTATATTTTTTCCCTTGAGTCTTAAAGTGCAGTATTATCAGCAGTCCTTTATCTCATAATGTGGATTTTTGAGGATGCCAGGTAAAAGGACTTCTTGCACCTCACTGTATTCTGTATGTTTCATTTTAGCTTCTCTTATGCCAGTTGTATTTTAAAAAGTCCACAATGACATAGTTCAAATAGTTTCAGTGCAGGGTCGATCAGCGACAACCCCTTATTTCTTATATCTGACAAGGATGGGAAATCATATTGGTTATGCTTTGCATGGAAGGTGTGGTTTTGAATATGATTAAATCTGCAAATTGCTGATTTCATGCATGTGTTATTCGAGCGACCCATGATCTCATCTGCACTCACCTTGTGTTTATTGACCTTACATTAGACAAGTGAGATGGATGGATGGATGCATGCATGTGCTGGCTGCCTTTTTACAGAGGTTATAGTGCAGCTGCTTTTAAAGATCCTGTGTAGCATGTTGCAGTTAAATGGGAATTGATAAGGATGACATAATGCTCAGTTGTCATTGAAACCCAACTCATTGTGGTCATGCAGGTTGTCATTAGTAACTGCAATTTAAATTATTAGGTCTGTCAGTGTTACTATGTCATGAGAGTCCCTTCTAAGATGTGTTCAGCTGCCAAAGTTGGTGGCTTGCAAATGATGGTGAAGTTGTTGTCCAAATGTGCATGTTGCATAACTTTTTTAGCTCAGTCCCCAGTTCCCACTATAAAGGTGCCATGTTTTACTGGCTCTTTTGGCAAGTAGGATGCATCCATATGGCGGTAATTTTTGACTGAATGCTTTATAAGTATTGCACGGCTTGTTTTGCTTGCATTACAGTAGTAAAATGACATGGATCCTTTTTCCAATCTTGCTTCAGATAAGCTATTGTACTTTTGTCCCATCTTCTGGGACTGTCACCATCAATTAGTTGGTATTGTGAGCATCGTCTGACTATCTGAGTGCATGTGTTCTTGCAAAATAATGTGTAATCCACTGAATTCTTCCAGTAATTGATTATTGATTGCTGACCAGCACTAGGTGCTTCCATCCCCAATGCCTGTCAAAGTGTTTCAGTCTCATAGCTTTTTTCTGTTTTGTGCAGCCAACCAAAGCTGAGGGACATCTCTCCTTTCTAGACAAATTAGTATGTGGAGTTTTCATTTACTTAGAATATGTCTCTCAGTCTGCAGGAAATGGAAGGGACACACTTGCTATGTGGAGGTGTGCATTTACTTAATGTTCTGCTTAGAACTACCTTAAAATAAAAGTATATTATAACAAACCTCGTGATGCATTTTGTTTGCCTCACACTGCTGGCGGTTTTTGTCATTTCATGCTTGTCGGTCCCTCAGTAGTGGCCTTAGGTTCAATCAAGAATTTGGGGACCAGAGTTTACCTTTTAGTACCAGTAGATGTTTCTTGTATTTGAAGCACATTGCTGAATTGTCTTTCTGTAGTATACATTGGTTTTAGTACAAAATTGAGTAGTTGAGC